ATCACCAAGTTTTCCGGAAGAAATGGCATGTTGTTGTCATATCCATACAATCCTGACCTCCGCTCCGGGCTCCCGGAACTCCGAACTCCGACTTCTGGAGTCCTACTTCCCTTCCGTCACCTCCTCCTTGCCGACTTCCAAGAGGTTATCCCACCTCCGGCTCCAACACCACCTTCGGTCCGACTCCGGAACATTCCGGGTCCGACCCCAACCTCGACACCTTCCAGATGAGTACGCAAACCCTATGCTCCCGACTCCGGACCTCCGCTCCGGTATCCCATTCACGTCTCGTCTCCGGAACCTCCGGTCTTAGCTCCGACCTCGGACTTTGACCCCACCTCCGCTTATACCCATTGTATTGGTTAGCTCATTCCATTTAATTACCTTTGCCAATATTCCGGAGTTTAACCTCCGAGTTCGGACTTTCCGGACTTACTCTGGACCTTGCAACTATTGCATTGTCCATTTCAATTCCGCTATTCTCCCTCATTCCTATTTGGGCTGCTGCTTCCTTCTATTCAGTCAGCTAGCCATTCCCGACTCCCATCCTCCTTCCTTCCTCCTTGGGCCTTGGCCCTTCATTCCTCCTTTGGGAAACACCATTGAGTCAAACACTTGACCCTCGGTGTTGTTCCTCTTTTCATCTCCCTTTGTCTCCTTTTGTCCTACCCTTGTTCCTTTTGATTCCGGACCCCTCCTTATATACAATGTACCTAGTAACTTGTAACCTCAGTCCGAAATCGACATGAATTCCCCCAAGAGACTTTCCCTCTGCTAGATCCGAAATTAGGGACCCCTAGGACAACCAGCAATGGCACAGCGCTCCGCCTGAGTCGCTGAGGCCAAGGTCCTTCCATGCTAAGTCTCCAATTCCATTCCGGAGTCGTCCGTTTCCGCCCGTTCTAACAGTTGTGACAAGATCGCATGTATCCAAACAGGCAGGGACAAGCTGCTTTGCTGTTTGAAACTTGCCATCTGAAGCAGCCCAGTAACCTATGATATAAGCAACATGTTAGATTCAAGCCAGAACATAGTGTGATAAGAATGCGCACGATATTTTGCATACCCCCATACCAATTCTATCAGATTGAGTTCACAATGAAACTTTGGAAGGAAGAGGCAAAGGTGACCACGTTCCTCCACACAGTGCTGAATGAGTGGCTTCTCATTTTGAAAATCAGACTGGCAAGAAAGCACACAGGTCATACAGCACCAGTCTGATGTCACTATCGGATCATGAAGTGCAGAGTCCAGCATTCCTGAGGACTCTTCTTCTTGGCCAGCTGCCTCAGCTGCAGCCAATCATGCAGCTGCATCTTTGGCAGCTTGTGACATTCTGCAATGTTCACATATGCCAATGGGCTTTCCTTTTGGAGAGTTCTTGCACAGGATGTCCCACACAACCCCGCGTTCTGTCATATCCATCCCCGGCCATCGACTTCCACTCCCTCCGATCCCTCCAGTCTACCTCCACTCCTTCACTAACCTCGGAGCTCCCATATTCCGTAAATCACCTCAGTACCTCTCAATGGTCACCACCCCCTCTTTTCAATTTATTACCTACACCTCCCTAAGTATGGAGCCCCGAAGGCTTCCGGACAGCTCCGACGTCCGCTAGCGCACTCCCACCTCCGCTGGGCAATACACTCGCTTGCCCTGCAAGCCTACCTTCGGGCCTATCCCTCCTTTCCATTTCTGGGTTATCGCCTACCATTCCGCTAACCCCGTAACCCGACTCGTCAGTAATATTCAATCGGCTAATGTCTAACCCTGTTAGCTCTGCTCCGCTCGGCTCCGCCATTTGCGGGCCTGCTCTCGTTGTAACCATATATATACTCCACTTGTACATAGGTTACACCTCAGTAATAAAATCGACTAGAGTTTACCCCTTTCAGTTCTGGTTGCCAGTTTAGTAAGTTAGGGCACGGACGTGTTACTTGGCACAGCGCTCCTGGCACAAGTCGCTGAGGCTGAAGCCCTCCATCATGGAGACACTCCCTTGTCTCAACCTGGTCTCTGACACGTTCTTTTAATACAGCCCTCATTCCTTTGGGCTTGCCACAGAGCTCCTCGGGGATGCTTCCATCATCAGGGTACACCATGAGCTGTACTTGGCCATGAGGGTCTGGACATCCGGGGTGGGGGGGAGGGTTGTCAATGGGGATTACTGTTGGGTGCATCTTCATCTGTTTCCCACCTGGATTGATATTCATGTTATTGACATTCAGTGCATTCAGAGCAAAACCCTCATGATTTGATGAACAGTCAAATATCCAAACCCCAATGCAGTTGGGGAATTTGAATTCAAAAATATCTAATGTGTCCTCAAGCTGTTCTTGATCTCAGCTCTGTCCAATGCATTGTGTGAATTATAAACATACCTGTTTGACAAGCTGAGAGCCATCCCACCATGCATCGTGTCCTTTTCCAGGATATGTGATGACCCATGCATTTGAGTTCACTCTTGCCTCTGGTGGGTGTTCCAAGTTCCTTTTCTCCTCTTCTTCAGTCAGTGCCAATCTGTCATATCCATACAATCCCGACCTCCGCTCCGGGCTCCCGGAACTCCGAACTCCGACTTCCGGAGCCCTACTTCCCTTCTGTCACCTTCTCCTTGCCGACTCCCAAGAGGTTATCCCACCTCCGGCTCGGACACCACCTTCGGTCCGACTCCGGAACATTCCGGGTCCGACCCCAACCTCGACACCTTCCAGATGAGTACGCAAAACCTATGCTCCCGACTCCGGACCTCTGCTCCGGTATCCCGTTCACGTCTCGTCTCCGGAACCTCCGGTCTTAGCTCCGACCTCGGACTTTGACCCCACCTCCGCTTATACCCATTGTATTGGTTAGCCCATTCCATTTAATTACCTTTGCCAATATTCCGGAGTTTAACCTCCGAGTTCGGACTTTCCGGACTTACTCCGGACCTTGCAACTATTGCATTGTCCATTTCAATTCTGCTATTCTCCCTCATTCCTATTTGGGCTGCTGCTTCCTTTCTATTCAGTCAGCTAGCCATTCCCGACTCCCATCCTCCTTCCTTCCTTCTTGGGTCTTGGCCCTTCATTCCTCCTTTGGGAAACACCATTGAGTCAAACACTTGACCCTTGGTGTTGTTCCTCTTTCCATCTCCCTTTGTCTCCTTTTGTCCTACCCTTGTTCCTTTTGATTCCGGACCCCTCCTTATATACAATGTACCTAGTAACTTGTAACCTCAGTCCGAAATCAACTGGAATTCCCCCCCAAGAGACTTTCCCTCTGCTAGATCCGAAATTAGGGACCCCCAGGACAACCAGCAATGGCACAGCGCTCCACTTGAGTCGCTGAGGCCGAGGTCCTTCCATGCTAAGTCTCCGATTCCATTCCGGAGTCGTCCGAATCCGCATATTCTAACACAATCAACCCTTTTCAGTTATAAAATCGGAAACATGTATGGCACATCCATTCCACTTCTTCCAGAGTGGCTGCTGACCATCTTTGATCCATACATGTCGTCGATACTCATTGACATGAAATATACTTTCATCTTGATATACTGGTATATGTTCTTTCCCTGGGCAGGCCCACACCACGGATTCCATGTTGGGGCCATTATATTGAATAAATCTGAAATATTCAACATTCAATTGTGTCAGGGATTTGAAATCGTTTTCTTCCACTCACTGCCCAACACCCTTCTCACAGGACATTGCATCAATAAAAGTTTTGTGGTATGCAAGGACATCTGGACGTTCATGTCCATCAGTATTGTTAGAACGGGCAGATTTGGACGACTCCGGAGTGGAATCGGAGACTTAGCATGGAAGGACCTTGGCCTCAGCAACTCAGGTGGAGCGCTGTGCCATTGCTGGTTGTCCTGGGGGTCCCTAATTTCGCATCTAGCAGAGGGGAAGTCTCTTGGGGGAATTCAAGTCGATTTCGGACTGAGGTTACAAGTTACTATGTACATTGTATATAAGGAGGGGTCCGGAATCAAAAGGAACAAGGGTAGGACGAAAGGAGACAAAGGGAGATGGAAAGAGTAACAACACCGAGGGTCAAGGGTTTGACTCAATGGTGTTTCTCAAAGGAGGGATGAAGGGCCAAGGCCCAAGGCAGAAGGAAGGAGGATGGGAGTGGGGAATGGCCAGCTGACTGAATAGAAAGGAAGTAGCAGCCAAAATAGGAATGAGGGAGTATAGCGGAATTGAATGGAGCAATGCAATAGTTGCAAGGTCCGACATAAGTCTGGAAAGTCCGAACTTGGAAGTTAAACTCCGGAATATTGGCAAAGGTAATTAAATGGAATGAGCTAACCAATACAATGGGTATAAGTGGAGGTGGGGTCAAAGTCCGAGGTCAGAGCTAAGACCGGAGGTTCCGGAGTCAGGAGCATAGGTGTTGCGCACTTGTCTGGAAGGTGTTGAGGTTGAGGTCGGACCCGGGATGTTCCAGAGTTGGACCAAAGGTGGTGTCGGAGCTGGAGGTGGGATAACCTCTTGGGAGTCAGCAAGGAGAAGGTGACGGAAGGGAAGTAGGGCTCCAGAATCAGTTTTGGAGTTCCGGGAGCCCGGAGCGGAGGTTGGGATTGTATGGATATGACAAGTATATACACCCTTTTTTGACTCAGTGCTTCGGAATCCAAGCTTCCATAACCAGCGTCGCTCTGTGATTCTGTCCGGTCTCAAACTGGGGATGAGGATTTCATTAACATGTTTGGTAAGAAGGTGCGGAGTTATCTGACAAAATACCATTATTGTTAACTCTGGTAATGGGTTTCAGTACAATGAACTCACTTCTCCAAGCTTTTGTTCTGCCAGATAACGTCGAACACCCAAAACAACAGCCTCATTATCAAGAAAGCTCCCTGCCCCTATTTTCTTAAGTTTTGCCCTCTCAGGGAGTCGCCAATACTTCTGGATGTAAGGGATTGCTTCTCAAATCTTGCGTGCAAAAAATGGCCCTTTCCCCATGCGTGCCGCTATTGCCAGACTTGCAGTCTTTGCCGGCTGCTTCCTTCATCGTGCTCCAGTGTTTTTCCAAATTTGACACAGCTTCTCATATGAGATAATTGCAGTGGGCATCATGATGCTCTTTAAGGTCTTCTTTGTTGGGACCTTTGTCATGTGTTTCAGTAACTTGGTTGCAATAGCCAAAATGTCTTCATCTGGCTCATCTTCCATTAAAAACCCTTCAACAGACTCTATCACATTCTCTGTATTATTGACACATTGGTCTGGAATGGTTGCTTCCTCTGGCTCTGGAGCATCTGTGACATTTGCTGTGCCGATTGGCGCATATTCTGCATCAAAGTCTTCATCGCTGCTGATCTCTGTTGTCTGACATGGAGGTTATCATACTGCTCTTATTGTTAGTTGATCCGACATACATCTGGTTCTTCAATTGCAGATAAATCCAATGTATCGATCCCCTTGATGATTTTCTCCAACTTTTCCTCAAATTTGCATGCTTGAAGTTTGCGAGTTTCCTCCTGGGCATTCTTGCTGTCAGTATCTCCATGATTTCGCTTTGGCCAGGGAAATTTATTATCAGTATGTGCTCATTTTTGCACAGTTCACAGAGAAGCTTAACTGACGGCCTTTGGGCAAAGGCCTCAAATACATCACGGTTGCATTGGCAGCAGCTTCTTCAAGCTCTCTCTTGCACTGCCTTCTGTGACACTCTGATCGCTTGGACCTCCCAGTGGGAGGTGCACGGCCAGGGAACTTGGCCTATGGATATGTCAGTTTAATCAACAAAGTGCCCAACCCCACTTACATCCCAGATGCGTTCTTCAAGAGTTGATTGACTCTCTGGTCCCATGAAGATGTTGTAAAATCTCTCCAAGCTCTTGGCCGCATCTTCTTCCTGGAAATCATCAGTGGAATGGTTGCTGTTTGCTTCAGTTGCGGAGTCTGAGGTGTATTGATAATCGGAATCGGAGTCAGGAGTGACATCTTCAAGTCTAATGCGTTTCCCAAAGACCCTGGATCCATTTTTTAGCTGCTCCTTCACCTGTTGCTGGCGCGCATTTTTGGCAGGCATTCTGACTGCGACGTTGGTTTCACACCATGTGATTTCACTGCTGTCCGTGATGCTCAATGTCCAATATCACAATATAAGTCCCACCACCAAAGATGCTTTATTGGCATCATTTACTCACTCCTTCACCTTAAGAACACTCCATATCATGGTATTCTAGGACTTTCCTAATTAGGCAATCAACGTGGCCATCGTGTCGGTCAGAATCTTTTTTCAAAGTTCAATTAAGAAAATATTACTCTGATAAGTCAAAGGGGTGCTAGTAAAGGACCTACTTCCACTAGTTCAAGAGCCAGATAGTGGTGATGTGCGGGCAGTGAAGGCAAAGTTTGTCGGAAGCAAAAATAGGTGCCGGAATTTAGCATCCCACACTATAATAAAATAATTCCATAATAAATGTTACTCAATACAGGAGTGACCAAACTGCTCTTTCTATCGCTTAGAGTGTGTGCTAGTTATCTAGCAGGTTCAGGATCACTCACTTTTCTCCTGTGGTGTGATAACCAAATATTACTGAGAGATTATTCAATTAAGAAGTCCCTCCACCAAATTCTCACTAATTCTCACTATGACACTTTTGTTCAGCTGTGTCTAACTGACCCTAACTCACACTTAGAGTGACGTGTTAGTTTTATATTAGCTAACAACTAATATTTGCTTTTATCTTTTGGAGCAAATGAACCAACCACTGGTGAGGAGAATTAAACTTATATTTCTACCTGAGGTTTGAGAGGGGCCAGAAGCAGTGGCCTTTTATGCTTTTCAGAGGCCTCTCTACTCCCACACCTCGCACTAGTTACATGTGCTACATTTGTATTATAGATAGTTCTAGAATGATATAGGGGCTTGGTGTGAGAGACTGGAATTATTGTCAGAGACTGAAATACTGTCGGAATCTGGAATATTGTCAGAGTCGGGCAGACTGTCAGAAGATGGATGGAAGATGGTTTGGGTTTCTGTCTGAGTTGGGGTCAGAGATTGTGGCAGAGTTCTGTTGGAGCGTGCATGCGCAGATATGCAGGCGGAAATGTGCGGCATGTCCAGAAGCGCTGTTCAAGGTTAGCAGAGTGGGATTGCGGCCTCAGCGACTCAGGTGGAGCGCTGTGCCCTGAGCTTGACATTTGGGGGAGATCCCATATTTACAGACTGACACTTACAGCGGACTTCAAACAAGACTTGCGGGCAGAGTGGACCTGTAGGAGGAGCGCAGACTCCACGAGCACAGACTCAGAGGGGGGGAAGCTGTTAAAAACCCGGGTTATGGGAGAGGGGGATAAATGCGTGAGTCCGAATGCGGGCGGGGCTCAACTAGAGGGGGTCCGAGGGCTCCGGTAGTGAACCGAAGCTTCTCAGGGAGCCCGGTTCTGCTGGATGGTACAAGAGGCTCTAAGAAGGACGTGGCCTCAGCGACTCGGAGGGAGCGCTGTGCCTCCATTACGTCTCAGTTAGTCCTTGTATTTCTTATGTCTGAGGTATCTTGTAGAACGGGAGCGGAATTCACTCAGAGGGACTTTGGGTGGCATTTTAGTCGAGATTAGAACTGAGGAACTACAGGTTCTAATCTACGGGTATTTATAAGGGGGACGGGGAGGACCTAGTCAAAGTCCGAACCGACAAATGGGAAAACACCGAAAGGTACCGAATGATACCAAGAGGTACCGAAAGGTAACGAAAGGTCCCGAACGATATTAGAACGGGGAACCGAGGTGTCGGGCCAAGGAGGGTGGAGTTGAAGGCCAGAAAATGAATGTGGAAGACAAATGGACAAAGGGGGTTAGCCGACTGGATGGTAGTAAAAAGGTAGTCGTGCTAAGAATGGAAGGTGACTAATAAATGATAACGTGAGGGAGATCACCGAAGGATGCGGGTAGCTCCGAAAGCAGAGTTGCATATCCGAAGGATGTTAGGTGACTCAAATAAATGAAATGGGTGGAGGAAGGGTTCAAGGGCATGTCACGGGATATCGGAGGTCCGTCGGGGTATTGGAGCAAATCCGGGATCTCCGAATGTTCCGACTCGGGACTGAGGTTCCGGGATGGGAGTGGCCAAGGTTCGGTGTGCCGCAACCAGACTGGAGCTGAGACAGTCAGGAGGGAAGGTGACTTGGAGAGTGGGGAGGCATGGTGTAGGGGATGGTGAAGTTGTTAGGAAGGTGTGATGTGGTGGGAGTGCGCGGGGTCGGGATTCCGGGATATGACAGAAGCCCCCTTTGCAGAAGGAGGGACTCAGACCAGACAGGGGGGTACTCTAGTTGATTTCAGACTGAGGTCCCCAAAAGTATTTACAAGGTATAAGTAGGTAAGAGAAATCAAAAGAGGGACCGGTCGGTCCAGTGCAGAAATAAGCAGAAATGAGTGGGGACTTGCCAAACTAAACCAAGGATGAGAACCTGGGAAATGGGAGGCAAGGAATGAATAAAGTCAAAGCAGATCAAGTACCAATATTGACAGATTAAATGAATGAATAGGAAAGTGCAATAGCACATGGATCAAGTGCCAATATTGGCAAGTTAAGCAAATGAAATGGGTGAACATAATAGGCACTCGGCAAGGAATGAATGAATGCTGCCGAGTGGCAAAAGGCCAAAGGAAAAGCGGGGTCGGTGTGCGGCACCAACACAAGTCTGCGAAACGGGATGCGGGAATCAGTGCAGCGCTGATAAGTCTGCAACAGAGGGTGGTCCATCAGTGCTGTCACAAATGAGGACAGCATGATGGCCAGCAAAGGTATGGAGGGAAGTGTTGACCTGACTACAGGGTGTGGAGGTCAACCAGGAGTGGCAAGGGTGCAGAGGGTGCAGAGGGTGCAGAGGGTGCAGAGGTGGGCAGGGGTCCGGATGTGGGAGATGCATGGAATATGGAAGATGCAAAATATGCGGAGGATGCGGAGGCAGGGATGTGAGACTGAGTTGTGCTGTAGGCCTAGGAGGAACCAGAGGGACTGGATGCCAGGAGCCCAAAGGCTCAGGAACTGGAAGTGAAGTCAGAATGCCAGCAGGGTCTAGGGTCTGATTGTTGGCAAAGTCTCACTTGATAGGGCAGGGGGCCAGACATCGGATTGAGGGCTGGTTGGATTGGCTTTCAGGTCGGCAGATTCGCCTATCGGCACTGATTCGCTGCTGACGGAGCCCCAGGATTTGTCGGTCATGACACTTGGGCTGTGTAAGCTTAATAATGGACTTAGGACATGACTCAGCAATAAGTAATTCAGTTCTTTGTCTGTCAGGCCGATCTCAGCGGGGTCTTGCAGTGCTAAAGCTATGCTCTACACCGCCTTAATTACAAACGGTTATCTTTAGAAATGACTCAGCTATAAAGGAACTTTCTAGACTGTTCTCTAATTCACCCCCTTCTGTGAAGCTGCATCATTACCAATGTTCTAGAGCTTTCCCAATTAATTAACTGATCCGCAGACTTCTGAATCACTTTATGCTTATGATCCGAGATCCAGATCATCAATCATTCCTTTGTTCCGATTTATTTGAGCTTAAAATCAAAAAGTTTGGATGAATCATGGGAAAATACACAAGATCTGGTTTTTTAGCATTTTCTCCTCTTCTGATGCGATCAAAAAGTGTCCGTCTATGCCGGGGGATACTCTGCCATATGGTATTTGGTCCACCAGACTTCTGGGTGCCAATATATTTCCCTTGAGTCACATAACCTTTTGTAAGAATTAGCAAATAAATATATATGAATTATAAGGTGTTTTGCTGTTTGAGCGATATCTCCATCAGTTTTGAATGAAATAAAACCGTGGAGAAAGTTAAGAAACAGTCCTTTCAGATGGTAGAAAGATTACAGTCAAAAGTTTACTGGTTCCCAAGATATTCACATTTCTTTCCCAATGTTCCTTCTTATTCTGCCGTCTATGTGCTATTTTCTTGTTGTAGGGATATATTCTTTGAATATTATATTTTCCTACACCTATGCCAGGTTCTAGGCATGCTTGTAGTAGCTTAAATCTCATGCTACATGGGTGTGGATAATTATAATGATCCTCTGACCCACAGTAGGCAAGTGTATATACTTGCCTCTTGTTTATACATCATCTCTGACCCACAGTAGGATTGTGCCCTGGATAGGGCTGGCTAGACTTGAGGCTGTGGGCCATAGGGGAGGGTCATGGGGACCCGGGTGTCGTCCCCTGACATGAGGCAGGCTTGCTGCTTGCCTAAATTGAGATTCCCATGCCCACACATGCTTGTGACCCATGCTGTGCCTAACTTCTCCAACACATAACTCCACCAAATCTCCACCAATTGGGATGTTCTTGATATTGAGTTGTTGTGTGAATGAAAAATTCCAAAATGTAAACTGGAGACTCAATGGGAAGGACCTTGGCCACTTGTCCTGGGGTCCTTAATGCAGTGGTCTCAAGGAGGGAAACTCAAGTCAAGGGGGAAATCTCTAGTCGATTTCTGACTGAGGTTACAAGTAATTGTATATAAGGGAGTCACAAGGACAAAGGGAACTGAAAGCAGACAAGGGAGCTGGAAGGGGGAACAACACTGAGGGTCAAGGGTTTGACTCAATGGTGCTTCCCAGAAGGAGGTCAGAAGGGCAAAGGCCCAAAAAGGAAGGGGAGTGGGGAATGGCTAGCTGACTGAATAGAAAAGAGCAGCAGCCCAAATAGGAATGAGGGAAATAAGTAGGATTGAATAGGACAATGCAGTGAGGACTGCAGGGTCCAGAGTAGGTCTGGAAGGTCTGGACTTGGAGGTGAAAGTCCAATTGGCATTAAATGAAATGAGGTAAGCAATACAATGGATTTAAGTGGAGGTGGGGTCAAAGTCCAGAGATGGAGCTAAGACCAGAGGTTCTGGAGACAGAGATGCAAATGGGATTCCAAAAGCAGAGGTCCAGAGTTGGAGGTGGGAACATCACATGCTCATGTTTGTGTCAGGGTTCAGCACCCTGCCGTAGGGTGCCCCAGACTCCCCAACCAATCCCTTCCTTCCATTCCTTCATTGTTGCCTTGTTGTTGCCTTTCCATGTTGTGTA